CAATTTTAATCTATTCTCCCAATGGTTGTAATATGCAAACAATCAATAATTTATCCACACTTGATTAACACTCAAAAATATATATGTCTTTAACAGACACACACACCCTTGGTTTCCCTGTGTGCTTGCTTCGTGTATGCTTGCGGATTTTACCAATCTTTAACAATAAACTATCTCTATATCTGGTGTTCAGGCTTTTGAATAATCTCGAGTAAATCAATAATTCTACTAGAAGATTTAGCCTGCATTTAATACTCAGTTAACGGGATACTATTTATTGGAGTCAGATATAGGAGAAATTAGCCTCTACAAACTCTTCAAAATGTTGCTTTAAAAGTCTTTGTAAATTATAGTTTGGTTGAATATGATTCATTTTATAGATAAGTAGTTAGTTCAGATTTTGTTTAATTCGAATCTGGTAGTTAAAATTTCGGTGACTTCTTTTAAACGTGATAAAGAAAAACATAAAAATGACCCATGTCCTATAAAGTAGTCATGTGTCTACTAGTAACTAAGTTAGAAAATAATTCCTAAATTTCTGCTGAGAATCAGTGATTGGTGTAGTTCAACTGTGAAGGAAATGATGTAAGTAACATCAAAGAAACTAGTCTTTCCTTGATCTGTACAGCGATTTGAGCGAATTTTGACTGGGATACTACTGTTCCGTGGTTTGAAAGCACTGTGTTTCCCAAAAGACTTTGAACTACTGTGTTTTTTCTTTGGTGGGATCATCTCTGTGGAAACTTTAATGAAACAAAGTATAATACTTCCTATTTTTCAATGTTCCTTCAGCATTTCCATTTGTTTTTTGTGATCTTTTTATACTTATTCATAGTGTTACTGATAAATAAACATACGAAAAGTAGTGAAATACGTATAGAGAGTGTTTATTATGTAACTGAAACGAACTGCCTATAAACACATACATAATGATACTGATTAAAACTAAGTTCTTCATCCCTAAAAACTGACTCCAGTTAATCAAATGATTGAATTTGTGGATCAAGTATTTTAGCATATTTCACACAGAATTTAAAAGGTTGTTTCTTTATTCTTTCAGAAACACGCTTCACATTAAACATTAAAGGAATGAACTTTTTACTCTTCGAAGAAAATTACTAAGGAAATTAGGATGTGCTTAAATTTTGCGTTTAACTAATTAACTGACTGTTTACATTAACCATAATATCAGTTCCCTAATCAATAGCTAGCTGTATAGAATGGATGAAATATGGCTAGTAATGAAATCCAGGATTGATATTCCATTTCATTAGGGACTCGTCAGTTGAATATACCTTCATCTTAGTGTTCATGTTCACACTGATGGTCAAATGCAGTAGTGAATTCAAGTCAATGTGTCAACATAAACACTGGTATATAAAGACATCTAACTGATAAACGATTCCTCTTAGTTACTATCCAACTATTCTATTGTATTTTCGAAGTAATCCATAAGGAGTACAAATATACCAACAAAGACTGATAAAAATTCTGTTCTGCACATCAAAAAATAGGATAATTTAAATCTTATCAATAATGATATTAGAATACTTTATATATTATACACTGTAATAACGGTTTTAACTCATTTTTGATTGAAATCATGAGTCAATTGAAGCTAGATTACCATGGAAAACCTGGAAGTACTGGAAGGCCATTTCGTCCTAGTATTGGACTCCACAGCAGTGCGCACCCACGATCCCGTATCCTGCGAGATCCGAACCCATGACCTATCAGTCTCACGCCAGGCGCTTAACCAACTAGATTACTGGGCCGGCATCCAGCGGTGTTAATATCTAACCTCAATCAATCCACGAAATTGCGCCACCATCTTCAATTGTACTGAGGTAGACACCTGTTTCTACGCGAAACGGACTAGCTCCACTGGTCAAGGCTTCTCACCAGAACTCCAAGAATTTTCTCACGAAGCTAGTCATTAGTGGGCACGTGGTAAGATGGTCGCGCAATTTCGTAGACTGGTTGAGGTTAGACATTAACACCACTAGGACGAAACGGCTGTCCAGTAGTTCCAGGTTTTTCATGGTGGTCTAGCTTCAACTGACTCATGATTTCAATCAAAAACTTAACAATCTCCACAACGCCTAAACTGTTAAGTCATTTTATTTGATGGTCTATCTTTTGTTACTTTCAGTCTAAAAGAACATTCACATACTCATAATTTAAAAGAAAAAAAACAGTCTGAAGTAAAGTATATTCCATAAAGAAATCCTTCATTTTGGACATGAATTCTTGACTGAATTTCCAATATTATTAAAGTGTCCTTGATCAATCATATTATGTTTGAACTAGCTAGATAAGTTCACATATATATATATATATATATCTATTCGATATCTTTTCTTTAACTTCCCTAACAGTTGACATGTAAATTTGTTAATTTTATAATACAAATAAATAAATATCAAACGTATAAACTGTGGGATACATCATTTAGACTAGATACCATATAATATTGAAGTTATCTGTTTATCTTAGTGACAGGAATTTGTATGATAGAAAAGATGATAAATTCATAACTATATTACCAACAAGTAAGTTACAATATTAGATTTACAATAATTATGAACAAGTAATTTTGTTTATTCTGGTTAGTGCTTTTTTTTCAAAGCATGATTGTTATCTACAAGATGGGAATGCTATTCCCATGTTTAACCCTTCTTCTTTGTATGGGCTTGGGATTAGCAGTAAATTTAGAGGGGCTACAAGTGAAAAAAAGGAAGACCAAAGAACACACTGTATTGAGAATTGAAAGCAGAATGAATAGTAACCGGTAACAACTGCAAAGGATTGACCAGGATGGAGTTGAATGGAGAATGCTGATGGGTGGCCTATGCTCCTTTTCGAATGGTAATAGGTATAAGTAAGTCAGTAATGAACAAGTAGGAAACTCAGAGACATTTACTACAAAATAAGATTCATTCCACTCAGTTAAGTTTTAAAACAACCTGATTTTTTCAAAGTAATTGGGTAATAACTAAACAGACTGATGTAAAAATTGTTGGATAAGAATAAGTTTAACCAAAAAAGAGTCATCTATTAGTCTCCGGCAGCTGAATTCGCGTCATTATAATTCTAGGGAGCTTTTGAAATCAGTTAAGGTTTAAGCTCATAAATTTTGTACATGAACAGACCAGATAGTTAAACTAATCTGAATGGATAACATTTCACTTTTTGCATGATCTATATTCTCCTTAAACTTTACTTTGAACTTTGATTAAATAATTATTATTCAGCCATTGATAACAGTGATATTAATGTTCACCAGAAAATCAAATTCTTCTGAAGAGGATGGCAAGTATTTCGACGAAACTTTTGTTACAGAAAATCTTCTACGCAGTACATATTTGCACACGTACATAGTCTTGATGAGTAACAATTCCAACATTTATAGTCGCTCAATAGTTTTTACAGGGAATAAGAGTTATATAGTGTCGGTTATTCAACACGGAATGAAAATTGGTCGATTATACATCTAGATCGCATTAAAGTTTTCTGCAGTTAATTCACTCAAAGTAAAAAAACTCACTCTAGGTTTGTAATTCAGATAAGAGGTATCTTTTGTTTAATTTCAGCAATTTTGATAAACTTGTCTTTTTAGTAGCATAAAAGTTGAAGGCATGAAGATGGTTTCATCTAAAAGAATATCTGAACATGAGTTTAGCAGCTAGTAAATATAAACTCCTTATTATTACAAACAACAGAGATACTACATACACTGGTATAAATTTTGAACCAGATACAGAATTTCAGATCATCACCGAACGGGACAATAACAGACTATTACGTTTAGCAGTATTAGAGATGGTTTGTGTTTCTAAATCTAACCTATGCATTTAGAAAATGTGTGTGGTAAACATGCCTCTCGTTATGGTTATCTTACGTTAGTTTTTAAATACTGTCAATACATACTTTCTATTCATGTCCTATTCTCTCTGGCATATTATTGTAATAACACATTCGTTATTTACTTAAGTTTACATGTATATGATACCATTGCTTAATCATCTAAACCATCGCCATTTCTTTACATTTTCATACTGCTTTGAACAATTGCTATTCATTAGCATTATCACAGTCACTATTATTATAACTCGGCTATAATTGTTTCAACAATTGACATCAATTTCTTCATTTCTTTGATCTGATCGGCGACACTTATGTCCACTGTAATTGACCATGTCACAAGCCATTTTTTAAAGTTTTTCTGTTTCTAAATAAGTAAAAGTTGTAAAATTATGGAGTGTATCTGTTACTACTTACATTAGATAAACTGAGTTATTTTATTCTAATTTTTTCTTACGGAAATATATTTTGTAAATTCACATGAAATAAAAAGAATTGATTCCATTTGACAATTTTCCGATTGAGATCATGAATCGTTGAATGTTAGACCACCAGTGAAAACCTTGGAGCACTGGATAGCCGTTTCTTACTAGTATGGGACTCTTAGGCAGTGTAGATCCACGACCTTGCACGCACGATTCAAACTCAGAACCTTAGGTCTCGTGCGTGAACACTTAACCTCTAGACTACAGAGCCGGTCGGCATCCAACGGTGTTAATGTCTAACTTCAACCAATTCACGAAGTTGCGTGACCATCATTTAACACTGTTTATACTACTTGTATTTACATACTTGTATTCTTAACGCAGTTGAATCTTATAATCAATATGATGAGACTATAATTTATGGAAGACCTTTGAGTGACACTAAACTAACCTTGGGAGTGTCCACCTAATAACTAAGACTAAACAAGGGTTATAATTTGCAATTGATGGTTAAGGTTAAGAATTAAATTTAGAGTTTTCATCACGAACTAACATTAATTATAATGCCAAATCTCTATTTAACTAAATGTATGAGTGAATTTCACACTAAAATCTTTATACCTGATTGTTTCGTCCATAAATTGTAGTCTCATCATCAATATATATTAAATTATGAATATTATACATAAATTCAAAAAGAAATACACTTACACAATATTATCTGGATCCCAATAAATTAAATGACTTTGAAATGTATTACATTCAATAAATGAGAAATGAGTAAATTTACTAATAATGAATAATAAAATCCATAAAATATATTTTTTATTAAGTTTAATAAATCCTGTCTCAATAGTATACCAGGAATTCATTTCAATTGATGGTTAAGAAACAATAGTAATATATATCTATATTTGTTTATCATCAAAAACAATCAAATGAGTTCACTGGAATGTTGTTTGTTTTTCGTATTTATCTTCTGTCAATAATTTTAACCGTATACTACTGTTATTACATAACAATTCCAAAGTTTCATTTGATCAACTTTATTTCTTCTTGGAGACTAAGAGTTATCTCCTGTTAGCACTTAGATAATAGAATCTATTGTAGAATGACTTTCAATGAATAAAACTCAATCTATATATTAGCCAATAAGAAAACTTAAGTTGATTTTATTATTGTTCTAAATTAAATTGAACCAATCTGAATGTTTCGTTTTTGTTTTTAAAAAGTGATTTTAATATACTCGTTTATTTAAATATTAATTCAGTAGAATGATGTTTTCGAAATGATACATAGAAATTAAGGAATTGTAACTTTATCTAATAGTCTTTGATAATAACTATCTTTACACATGAATCATGTGAATTGTATGTTTATACTGGTGATTAGATTAAAAGTTAGTTGGTGAGACTCTAATTTATGGATGAGCCAATCAGAGGCGTTTAAGAGATTTTAAGGTTATGGCACCAACTTCAGTGCTTAATGCTAACGTACGATCGGTTCACAGGGAATTTTGTACAAAACGTGATAATTGAACGGCTATAACAAATAAAACGGCGTGACTATAACTTATGGGCGAAACAATCGGGTATAAGATAATAGATCTCGGATTTTCATCCATTTGGCTAAATAAATTTCTGGCATTAGAGCTGATGTTAGTTCGTGATGAAAACCCCATACATAATTCCTAACTAAGGCAAATTATGACAATTATTGTGAACTGGATAATAAAATCACCAGTAACACTGGCTGCAGTCAGGTACTACAATATATACGGGTGTTTGGAAAGCGTACAGACTCCTACATAGGCTTGGTTATGTGCATCGTGTCGTTATCCACAAGTAGCATTTTGTGCACTGAACAACGGGAGTGCACATAAGCAATTTTGAAGCTATGTGGTCAAGGCTGAAAGAGTTTTTGAGACTTTATCATGGCTCCAGTGGCCGACTATTCTGTAGCCGTATGGATGATTTCCTCTACTGCATGCATTACGATTTTAGAATCTCTGAACCTCTTTTTAACCTTGACAAGTTTTTGAACCACGTAAAAGAAGTGTATCCACTTTATTTCTTTGGTTTTGTATAATAGATTTCTACTCTATACTGGCTTTTCGCTGATTGGCTAATATTTCTCAAGCTGGCTTAAGATTCGTTCAAAGGTTGTCCATAAATTATAGTCTCGCCAGTTGGTTTACAGAATTTCTAGTAAGTTGTTGTAGTTTATGAAGTAAAACAAGATGGCTGATCATATTATGAATCAATAAATCTTGAAAATTTACTATTACGTTACTTATTAGTAGGTACATAATTATTATTCACATGCTTAGTAACTTCCATACTTACTTACTTACGTCTGTTACTCCTAATGGGGCATAGGCCGCCGACCAGCATTCGTCAACCCACTCTCTCCTAGGCCTTCTTTTCTAATTCCATCCAATTCTTGTTCATTTGTCTCATGTCTATCTCCACTTCCCGACGTAATGTGTTCGTTAGTCTTCCTCTTTTCCTTTGGCCTTCAGGATTCTATGTGTGGGCTTGTCTTGTGACGCAGTTGGGTGCTTTCCTCAATATGTGTCCTATCCACTTCCAGCACTTCTTCCTAATTTCTTCCTCCGCTGGGATCTGGTTTGTTCTCTTCCACAGTATGTTGTTGCTAATAGTGTCTGGCCAACAGATCCGAAGTATTTTGCGTAGACAACTGTTAATAAACACTTGTATGTTCTGGATGATGAATTTCGTAGTTCTCCAGGTTTCCGCCCCATACAATGGAACTGTTTTGACATTTGTATTGAGAATCCTGACCTTGGTGTTGGTTGACAGACAGTCCGTTTAAGTTCTAGATGTTCCTCAGCTGTAACTATGCTGCTCTCGCTCTGCCGATCCGCGCTTCCACATCTGCATCAGATTCACCGTGTTCATCAATGATGCTGCCCAAATATGTAAAGGTACTTACATCTGCCAAATCTTCTCCGTCAATTGTGATTGGATTGGTGCATTCTGTGTTGTATCGGAGAATCTTGCTTTTCCCTTTGTGTATATTGAGATCTACTGCTGCTGAGGCTGCTGCTACACTGATCGTCTTCTCCTGCATTTGTTTTCGGGTGTGCGATAGAAGAGCCACATCATTTGCGAAGTCTAGATCGTCCAGCTGCATCCTACATGTCCATTGTATCCAGTGCTTTCACCCTCCCTAGATGTTGACGTCTTCATGATCCAGTTGATCACCAGGAGAGAGAGAAAGGGTGAGAGTAAGCAACCTTGCCTGACACCGGTCTATATTTCGAACAATTTTGTCAACTGTCCTCCATGCAAGATTTCGCAGTTTAATCCATCATACGAACTCCGTATGATGGTTTGTACAGAATAATTTAATTTCTCTATGTGGACTAAAAATCAGATGGAGACTTAATAAAGAAGCCAGTGATAACTGGGAATATGAATCAATAAATTTTTATTTAGTGATATCAGTCGAAACCTGAAATTTGTGAATTCGACTGCCTATTAGTTCGTGAATGTTCATTGCTGAGTTGTAAAAAAATTAAAACGATTAATTTATTCATCGCTCCCGGCTTTTTGATATTTGCTGAGATACTGTCGAATCATAAGAGAGAATGAATCTCCGTACAAAGTAACTATAACAATATAAACCACTTTTCATAAATTAATAGGCATTATTAGTGTCTACATTCTAACTAAACACATCGACAGTTGTCATGTGACTCATATGATTTATTTTTGATCATAGAAATTAACTGAAACAGTAAAGTATTCCGTCTTCTGTTTATCAACATGAAACTAGTGTTTTTTGCACGTTCGTTGTCACTTTTATTGATTAGTAAATGTTTTTGTTTGAGTATTAAAGTCGCTTTTTCAAAATTGATTCTTGGTGAATAATCACTTAGAACGGATTACAAATAAGAATCATGCAGTAAAATCAAACAATACTTGGAAATTTCTAATTAATTTCTTCTATGCTATGCCTATACTCCTCTACGAGGGGTAAGAGGCACAAGTAAGTTGATATTTTTCAGTACATGAATTCATTTTATTGACATTTTCTTTAACACTAAGCATTACAAGCAAAGATGGATAGTGACTAACAGTGGAATCCAGGATGCTCATTTCATCCTATTTGGGACTTGTCGGCTGAATGTACCTGAATCCCAGAGTTGATGTTCACCCCAAGACACGAACCAAGTACCGTTCGTCTCAAACGTCATCACGTTATCCACCTAGCTACTGAGTCCTGATAGCCACTTGCTTGAGCAATGGGGTAAAGTTTAAATTCATTTGATATTGTTTGTTTGAATCTTGCTATAAATCACACTATTTCAAGAATTCCTAGTTCTTATATTAATTTGAATACTTCTAAGGGCGGCCTGCTTGATCATCTGGGCTACCTGTTCCTGCCATCTAGATATTTCAACAAGTTATCTATTTTTGTTTGTTTTAATATATCACTATGTTTATTAATCGCATAACCTATTCTGCTGCGTTTCTGAAAAGTGTACAACCTTTCGTTGTCAAAGATACAAAAAACTCAATAAGAGACAATGTGGTTGCTGGCTATATACAACGGAAAGAATGCATATTATTCAGATGTTCATTTAGTGAACTGTTAACATCTAACTGGCGATCACTCAATATTTATCGCCAGGACCGACCAAGAAGAAAGAAACGGAAACTTGTTGAAATACTTTACGCTGAGAATTCTATATTGTACCAAAAAAAAAATAATATTGAATAAAGCTGATAATAATAATAAAAAAATAAATAATCATCATATTGGTACCACGATGACGCCTGTGTTCGAGACAATCTACACAGAATGCACATACATTATCAAGAAGCTGATCAATTGCAGTCCTAAACATTAATGGAAAGACTCAAACAAACAATACCGAATGAATTTAATGCTAAACATTTTATTATATTTCAACAAATATGAATCCATTTACAAACAGCTGATTGAAAAGACTACATAGTCATCGATATATATTTATTAAATTATACGTTTAACAGCCTTATACATTAAAAGGGGTTTTGTGGATATTACAGTAATTTTAATAGTTGAGATCATGAATCGATTGAAGCTAGACCATCCTGGACGGCTATCCAGTGCTTTCAGGTTATCCATGGTGGTCTAGCTTCAACTGACTCATAATCTCAACTATTAGCATTTTATATGCTTGCTAAATCCATAATAATGTGACAAATTTTGTTTAGAAAAGGAAATGATTATTTGGAGGATTCTATGGATTGCAAATCATTTCTTATCATCAAGGTAAACAGATTAAAAGTGGTTATCACTAACATAAAATTCCACATATAGGTCATGTAATATAAGTGAAATATATATAAGTTGAATTTCAGCAAATCGAGTATTCTATGTCTAATTATGATTTGAAATTAGGAATAGTCTCAGGTTTGTAATGTAGTGTTAGTCATTAGTTTTAGCCCATAATATATCTTATTCTAGTTTCCGGACATTCCATTGTATTCATTCTACTTGAGTAATATTTTGACCTTGTTAATTATTCGCTTATTAGCCTTGATTGTTTTCACATGAGCGTATATGTGTGTACACTTCATGTCCCATGACTCATCACATGTCTGTAGTTTATTTTGTCTGCCTATAAATATTGAGTAATGCCCGGCTTGAAATGGAGTTGGCTTCCCAGCCATCTTCCATACGTGTCATTTTGCTTTGCTATGCTTCATTCGCTTCATGTACGAAATATATGTATTCTCAAGTCAATTCTCGTTATTCGACTTATTTAATTCCGTTATTGGATAACGCGATTTAAGTCGACGATGATATACGAGAAAAGGCGATAACAAACATCCATACAATATAATTGGAGTCAGATCAACGGGCCACAAAAGTAATACAAAACAGATTTAAAGCATAGATTTTGAAGGAAAATTCCAAGACCAAACATTCTGAATCACATTATGAAACCGATAACTTCATTGATCTATTATGGTTTACAGCATAGTTTGCTTAGAAGAAATTCTCCGAAATCCTTCGATATATCTGTATTTTGGACCAAGAAATTATTAAATGACTAAAGGTGAAATAAAAAGTAATGTCATCATCTTTATAAATAGAAGAATCGATTATTTGTAGTCTATATATATATAATAGTATGCTGTCATGCAAACATGTCATCAAGACATTGAATAT